CTGTATAATCTCCTTGTCTTTAAAAGGTTTTTTCTTATACTATCGTACTTAACAAAATCCAATAAGATACAACCTGTTTAGACCATTGGAGACAGAAGAACAAAAGCTAGATGAGACTTCAAAACAAGATGGTACTAAATCAGCATTACCTATTAAGATGTCATTTTCTCCAAAAAAAGCTGTTCCTATCATCCAATCTTCTCTGTCTCATTTCTGTTGAGCTCTTTTTCTGTCAGTAGCTGTCAGTTTGTCTTCTTCATTTTGTTCTCTGCTCCATTCGTTGTGGCTTCCCCGCCCCTATTTCTGGGTTCTTTGTATTTTTCTTTTTTTAGAATATCCTGCAATACTTTCTGTAGGGTTGAATTGGTGGTTGCAAATTCCCCCAGTTCCTCTTTATCCTGGAAGCACCACGTTTTTCCATCAATTTCCAGGGACAGTTGTGCAGGATATCTCAATCTTGGCTGTAGATTATTATCTTTCAAAGCTTGAATTATTTCTCCCCATGCTCTTCGTGATTTGATGGTTTGTGAAGAGAAATCTGCTGTAATTCTGATGGGTCTCCCCTTGTAAGTGATCTGTTTCTTGTCTCTTACAGCTTTTAATATTCTGTTCTTGTATTGAATTTCTGGAATTTTTATTATTATATGCCTGGGTGTTTCTCTGTTAGGGTTGTAGGTAGCTGGGGTCCTGTATGCCTCATACATTTGAGTATCTTTACCTTTTGCTAAATTAGGAAAATTCTCCTGGATTATTTCTGTGAGTAGCTTTTGTAGTTCACTTGTTTGTGTCCCTACTTCTTCTTTTATGTTCTTAATCCTTAAGTTATGGCTCCTCTTATCATCTTCTTGTCTTTGTATTATTGCTGTGTGTTTCTTTGTTATTTTTAAGAAGTTTTTCATTTCATTCTCCCATGTTTCAAGTCTGCCCTCCAATTCAGATAGTCTGTCCTTAGTTTCTTTCAAGCTGTTATGCCAGTCTTGGGTAGACTTCTTAATTTCTTGATAGTCTCTTTGCACCTGCTTCACATACTCAATGCTTTCTCTGTTTTCTCCATCAAGCAATTCTCCCCTCTTTTTCTGTTCTTCCATTCCACCATCTGCTTTTTCCTGGGTGGTGCTTAGCATTTCTCTAACTATTCTGCATACTTCTAGCTTCAGGTCATTGATAACTTCATTCCTGAATTGGTCTATGAGGCTCTCTAAATGGCGCTTAATGTATATTGGTGCAGTGTCCTCTATTGCCTGATTCTCAGGATTGGGGGTCGAGGAGCCTTTTTTTTTGCTTCCCTTCCCCATATTTTCTGTTCCTTATAAAATGTAATCTTACACAGGAGGCCCGGCTTCCCTGCCTGTCAGCCACAGCTTGATCAAATTGCGCTGGCTAGTTGTTCCCGCTCACCGCTGCGCCCCAGGGAGTTGCGGAGGAGGCAGCCTATGCGGAAGTCGGTCGCTCCTCCGGGCCACCGTCAGGCTCTGGGATCTGGGCTAGGCCAGCCTAGGGAGTCCGCGAGCAGCGTCCCTCCGGCCAGGCACCTTTCACCAATCCCATCCGAGAGGGAAACGTGCGGCTGCAGTGCCACCGCGCCCTGCTCTTACAGGACTGCCCGCGCCCAGAAAAACCTCCGCTGGAGTCAAACTGCGGTAGGGAGTCAGTTCCTCGCTCACCTCGCCACCAGTCAGCCTTCCTCCCTGACCGTCGCGTCTCCGACTCCGTTCACAAACTCCCGTTCCCAGAGCTCGGTGGGCGCGTCTCTCCTTGCCGAGCCGCTATGAAGGCGCCGGCCGCCGGGCGGGGCGGGAAATCCAAACCGCGGTTTCCAATGGCGCGGAGTCGAGCCTCCCCACCGAGATTTTTCTGTTCCTATTTTAGCGCCAGGACTGTATTCCAAGTTGGATTCTCTCAGCCCAGTTCGTTCCTGAGTCAGCAGAGCATATCTCTACTGGTTCGTATCTCCTTAGTCCGCATCATTCCTGGCCTCTGAGCCGAGCCTTTAGAGAGCGTTCAGTAGTTGCTGTTGTCTGTCCGCCATGTTCAAAACTTGCCTGACTGCAGTATTCTTAAAGTGTAGCATTTTCTTTGTGAGCATCTGGCTTGATTTATGCCATCAGTGCAGGAGTTAGAAGCCTGTGCTTGAAGCAGGTATTAGCTCTCTAGCCCCTCCCCATTTCTCTCTTGATTCCCTGGTCACTAGAAGCAGCTTTTTTTACTATGTGCTCCCCACCATGGTGGTCTGCCTTTCCACATGCTCAAAATGTGAGGTCAAGCCATCAGTCACGGACTGAGACCTCTTTAGCCATGAACACACATAAACCTTTTCTCCCAGTAAGTTGATTCATCTCAGATATTTTGTTACTCCAACAGAAATCTGATTGACAGAACATTGTGAATACATCAAATGACATTAAATTGTTCACCTTAAAACAGTTAAATGTATGTTATGTTAATTTTGACTCAGCAGGAAAAACGCTGTATTGCTACACTTTTGGATTTCATGAAGTACCTTTTACCATCAGCTTTTCTTCTCATACCCTGTAAACGAGAAATGGCCAGCTGATTTTTCTCAGATAGGGAAACCTGGATTCACTGAAGGTGTCAGCCCTCAGGGATGCTGCCTACTAGGCCAGCGCTCTTTCTGTAAAAGTCCCAAATCACACAACTCAAAGGGGTGTGGGGAAGCTGCACTGTCTCCTTACCTCCAGATAAGGCGGAAGGCAGGAAGACTCATCTCTCCGACACAGCGTGGCAGGAGGGAGTGGAGCAAAGATCAGCTTTGCTGTCTAAGGCATTTCTCCAATTTCTTCATAGTTTTTAATAGGTATGATTCAATGTTTTATATCTATCTGTGAAGTTGTGCAACTATGTCCCCAAAAGGAACCCTGTGCCCATTAGCCATCACACTCCACACTCTGCTCCTTCCTGTCCCATTTCTGTCTTGATAGATGTTCCCATTCTGGACATTTGAATAGAGGAAATCATGCAATATTTGTTACTTTTAATCAGCTTCTCTTACTTAAAATGTTTCCAAGGTTCATTAATATTCTAGAGTGAATCTGTCCTTTCTACGGTCATCTAAGTGACTTCTGAGCACCAGCATCTTCCCGTCACTTCTTTGCTGCCTGCTGTGGCCATGAGAGGGTGGCGGCCAGACAGGGACAACACAGCAGACTTCACGGTGGTAGAGGCCACAAACAGTCCCAACATTGCCCCGCAATCTTCTTTGCTGCCTGCGCACAATATTAGGCAGTCTTACTGCTGTCTTTGATGCCCTTGTTTTTTCCTACTTGTCACTCCTACAAAGTGACAAGGAAATGCACATCACGTCCATGTGGAGAAGAAGAAATGGAAGCCTCATAAAACAACAGAACTGTTAAAACCAATGAAGACAGAAGAACAAAAGGAACTTCAAAACAAGATGATATTAAATCAGCACTACCTATTATGATGTCATCGGTTTTAACCTGTTGTATCTTATTGGCTTTTATTATATGGGATAATATAAACAAAAACTTTTATAGACAAGGAGATTATACAGAAACCATTGTTCATTTTCTGTTAGTTGATTCTAAATACCCTGTAATACTGTCATTCTCTTGAACGGTTTTACATTGTCTTGATATGTTTGATGCTACAGTATACGAAGTTATACCCAAAGATTTTAAGGGAAGAGACACTATGGTAACTACTTTTATGTCAAGATTATCTTGTGGTGAAACACTATTTTGCTTAAATGGCTATGTTTTGACCTGTACTGTTTTGTTGTTATGCCCTTTTTTATCTCAATCTCCTTTTTATTATCTACTTTTTCATTTTTATCCTTTTAATTAAGGGAAAAATAAAAAATAGCAGGATATATTATAGTAACCCACTTATTTCCTATTAACTTGATTTGAAACCCTGTATTGCTCTCACCATCTTGTTTTGACTGATTTTCCTCTATTCTGTTATGCTTGATGGTACCGAGTTTGAGAGTATAGGCAACAACTATGAAGACAATAAGATTCATTATGACGCCCATTCTGGTTGAGTATTATCTTCTTTTGAAGTCCTCTAATGTCTCCAATGTTTTGGTTTTATTGGTCTTATTCTTTACTGTTTTGTTCAATTTTATTATAACTGATGATATAGGCAATTCTTTTTAAGATAACAAGAGGCATTATGGTAACCATTGTTGATCACCTTGTATTTTGTTTTTTATATTATGTATTATGTCCATCCTTTTGATTTGACTGACTCTGTCCTGTTATATAACATTTGGTTTTACTTTCTTCAAAGAAAAAAAGTAATAAGAACTGTGGGAGTAATAAACCCAAAATGTATAATTGTCATTGTACAAAAGAAAGGAAAAGAAAGTGCTCTAAATGATATAACTGCATATATATTTATGTATAAGATAGATAACCATATTACTGAGCTTTGTCGGATGATTGAACAAAACCGTTTCCAGTCTCACTGTTTGAAAGTCCACTTTATATGCTTTAATTTTGTAACTTGAACAACTATTTCTAAGATGACAATATGTAATTAACTAGTGAAAAAAAAAAACAGAACTGTAACAAGGGGTCTCATCCCATCATCTTTCAGCCGTTATCCAAGGTCAACTAACCCAATATTCTCACCAGGGAAAAGGCAAGAGAAAATTAGTGGGTTCCCAGTTGTCTAGATGTGGAGCACATATCTAAACCCAAGCTGTATTCTTTCTGCCACCAAGCCATGTCCTCTATGATTAGGCAGCATGTACCCAAAACACAACCTGAACCCAGAACATCAATACCAAATATCTCCAGGTGACCAGTTTATACGCTCCTCTCCATTCCTGACTTCTCCAACAGACTAAAATCCATCATGAACTAAAGAAACAGAGAACAGTGGTGCTAAGTTACATGAAGCCCAAAAGAGGAACAAGTCTTCTATGATTTCTGGGCTGCTGAAGAGAAGCTTCCAGAAGGCGTGATGGCACCGCCCAGCCCTCGGCAAGCCTCCCTTTCAGCCACACTTCTTACCCTCCCTTCAAACTTGGCTGTGGCTCCTTCTTTGACGCAGAGGTTCCGAGGGGGCAGAATGAAGGCAGGGGCCTCCATCAGCGGCGCGGAGCCAATCTTTGAAGGACCCACACTCAGGGAGGTTTTGGGAACATGCGATGAGGCAACTAGCTTCACATCCCCCATGGTCTGCAAACAGAAGAAAGAGGACTCGGTCAGGTCAGGCCCGCACAGCGCTTTGGCCTCAAGGCAGCATGGCCCAGCCTGAGAGTGCCCAGTCAGCTTGGGGCTCCCCACAGGCTTGGTAACTTCTCCACAGGAGGCTCCCGGGCACAGCAGAGCCTGGAGCCACGACTACCTCCTCAGAACCCTCTGAGGAATCTCCCATCTCTCCTTGGTCCTTCTTTATGAAAAGAAAGCTGGTTTAATGACAGGTCACTCAAATCTGCATTGACGAGTCACTGACCCTTCAGAATTGCCATTTACAGAGCTACTTGTGTAGGAGGTTAAAGTTGTTGAACTGCAGGAGCTCACAGGCTCCAGAAAAATGGCACCCACACTCCAAGCAAGGAGGGAGCTGGGTTTTTATGGGGACGGGAGGAAAACATCTGTGGTTGAATGGACAGAACAAACTGGCAACCAGATTGTGAAAAAGGCTCAAAGGTCAGAAAACTTCAGAGAAAGGAAGCATTTTCTGCTTAAAACAGGTTCAACAGGGCCACTTTCCCAAGGGCACAGGGCAAAATGATATCATTACTGACACGAATACCTTAAGCCAGGACTCCTAGTCCAGGACCAAGATGAAATCAAGGTATGATGTGGCTGCCAGGCTCACGGGAACAAAGAGGCTGATGCAAGAAGACAAGGTATGCGGCTACCCGTGGCAGCCATGCTTGACTCTTTTGGAATGTTCAGCTATTCTCAGGTTTATGTACATTTCATGGCAAACCCTGGAAAGTACCAGTGTGTAAAAATAATAAATTATCATTCACTGAACACTCACTCTATTCCAGACACTCTAAGGAAAACAATACACTATCATATTTGTTGTTTTTCACTTTGTTAATTTTATTGCTGTTGCTGTTTTGAGACAGGATCTTGCTGTGTAGTTCAGGTTGGCCTCGAACTCACTATGGAGCCCCAGGAAGGCCTCAAACTCCCAGGAAATCTCCTGCCTTAGCCTGCCACATGCTGAGATTACAGGCATGACCAACCATACCTGGCTTACTTTGTTCATTTTTAACTGACACATAATAATTGCATATATTTATGGCATACAATTATTTTGGTACACGTATATGTAGTGTTATGATCAAATTAGGGTCGTTAGCATATGTATCATTTTAAGCATTTATTATTTCTTTGCAGTGGTAAAACTCAAAATCCATTACCCTAGCTATGTTGAAATGCACACTATTGTCAGCTATAGAGCCTCTACTGTGCAACAGAACATCCGATCTTATGCACCTATTTAGCTGTAATAATCCAAGGTATAATTAACACTTTGCAAATGAGGAAGCTGAGTTTAAATGGGTGAAATAATTGACCCATTCCACAGCCAACATGAGACTGAACCTGGATTACTAGGTCCCAGAGATGTCTCTAGCCATGCCACACAGCCCAAAGGAGAAACATGTGAAACCATCTACATTCTATTATGCAATTTTATTTTCGTGGATGTAGAAAAATATGTATTTTACTTGGTGGAAAGAAAAAAATATATAGATGCTTCCTATTTTTCCTCACAATTTTTCTTAAGTTGCTTTTAAGAAAATGAATTTAAAGTATTCCATCATATGGGCATATGATTAGCTCCTAACTGTAGGCCACTTGGACAAGAAGAAATTCTGCATGAGCCTTTTTGTGACAAAGTCTCTCTCTGAATTTCTAATGATTTCCTTTAAAAGTGGACTTACAGCCAGATATTGTGGTGCATTCCAGCACTCCAGGTCACTGAGGCAGGAGGACTGCAAGTTCAGGCTCAGCCTGGGCAACTTAGCAACTTGGTAAAACTATCTCAGGGAGGGAAAAAAGGGCACGAGAGAGGGAACAGTGTGTGCAGGCCTGGGTTCCACGCCCAGGACCGGAGGCCTTCACTGAAACAAAAGAAACCATAAATCTCTCTCATAAATCAAGATGGGAACGATGGTGGGGTGGCAGGGTCCACGAGGCACAAGACAGGGTCAGAAAACAGGCTGCAGTTGAGGGCGGCTAGGCAGTCACACTCCGGTCACTACGGTCGCCACCTGGAACACATCCCAGCTATGCCGTTTCAGGTTCTAAGCTCAGGTGGGGCCTTAGCAGACCGGGACAGCTCCAGATGGGTACATCTTGCAACACAATTCCTGGGGCCTGGCATGTGGCACAGGACACACATCTGCTAGTGGGAGAGATGCCAGGTTCTCAGTTCTTGCTTTTCTGTGCAAAGCAAAGTTGTGCTTTTCTTTGGCTATTCAGTCACACACTTAAGTCTCATGCTATGGGTGAGGCAAAGTGATTCAAAGGAACAAGCATACCTGGGGCTTATAAGCAGTTTATTTAAAATTATTATCTAACAAAAAATAAAATAGAGCTGTATCTTTTGAAGTACAAGTTACAACAACAGAATGACAAGGTTTGTAACAGGTTTGGCAAACCTGGCTTTCTCTTTCACTAATAAAGAATTAGCTTTGCAAACAAAATTCCTTTCTAAGTGATGGGACTCCCTGGCTCGGTGTAGTAAGCAACAACAAAAGCAAATACACAGCACTTTGTGCACATCAGGAACTGTCCTAAGCATATTTGCTCCTTACAATAACAATTTTGTCATCCCAATTTCAGTGATTAGCAAGCCATAGCTAGAGAGATTAAGAAATCTGCCAAAGGTCGTATATTGAGTAGGGGGCAAACCTCACATCTGAGCCCAGCATGCGGCACCCACACTCCTGTTCCTACCTGTGGGCCCTCTTGCCTCCCACAGCATTCAAAGTTGGCTGGTGGGAAGAGGGTCTGAAGGCCGACAAAAGGGGAAAAGTGGAGAATTGTTCAATTTACATGCACACCAGATTTCACGGGTAAAGTTAAGATTTTTTGTATATCCAAATACACTGTCAGCAATACTAAAAGATGGCTGATAATCTGAGATAGAATATTTGCAATGGAAATAAACAACCAGAACACACATAAGAAGAAATCACCCCAGTAGATAAATTGGCAGATGCTATGACCTGGACAGACCACAGAATCGCTGGTGAACAAATGAAGATCCCAAGCAATAATCCAAGACTGCAAGTTAAAAACAAGTCATTATTTTTAAGCTAACCAAACTGACATTTAGAAAAGAAAGACAGCATACACTCGGTGGAGGCGAACCTCTGGCCCGTGTGCTACAGTGAGCTGTCTGCACCACTTCGACAGTGTCTAAAAGGTTTGCCACCACCGGCACATATACTGCAGGTAAGACCACGGTGAGATGAGCATGCTCCTATCTGTCTAGAGGAGAGATAAAGCTGTACGCTTTTTGGAAAAAAAGCAATTTGGAAAAAAAAGATCCTGAAAAATCTGTCCATTTCTTTTCTTAGTAACCCTAAATAGAAATGCACTATTGGGAAAGAATCAGTGATGCTGTTTCCACTTTTTAATATAAGAACACTGGTTGCATTTATTGCAAATGCTAGATATATTTTTTACAATGTGGTTAAATATCCAACAAGAGAATTGGTTATATACAGTGGAATACCAGGCTGTATTAATTGGATGAGTGTATATTTAGATGGAAAACAATGACATGAATGTAACAACACAGACATGTTAAAGAACATGTTATTGTGGTAAGTTTCAAACATGTAGAAAAGAGGAAAAGAATGATAAAATGTGCAGCCCAGACATGCACTATTTAGACTCAATAACTTTTTCCATATTTATATTATTGGGTTTTGTGTATGTTTGTAGAACAATTTCAAAACAGTCATGTATTATTTTTAGTTGGCACAATAATTGTACATATTTACAGGGTACAGTGTGATAACTCAAAACACATAATGATCAAATCAGAGTAATTACCCTCTTAAACTTGTATCATTTTTTTATGTTGGTAACTTCTGGCTGCCTCTCTTCTAGTTTTTTATAAAATATCTAATAAGTTGCTGTAAGCTATAATTACCCTGCTACACTGTGGAACACTAACCTATTCCTGACATCTCACTAGACCTTGGTACCTGCCGGGGTGTGGATCTGGAACGTCCCCATGGGCTCCAAGGCTGTTGGCTTGTGGGGTAGTGCACTACTGGGTGGTGGCGCAGCCTTTAGGACGTGGGGCCTAGTGGAAGGAGGTGAGGTCCCGGGGGCCTGACAAGGACTTTGGGACCCTTGGCCCTCCTCTCTCACTGCTCACTTCTCACTGGCCATGAGGTGAGCAGCTGCCCCGGCACGCTCTCCCCTCCATGATGCGCTGCCTCACACAGCTCAATGGAGCCAATAATCGTGGGCCACAATCTCTAAAACTGTGAGCCAAAACAAATCTTTCCTTTTACTAGTGGATTTGTTTTAGGTGTTTTGACGCAGCAGCAGAAAGCTGACCACCACAGTGCCAGTGCTGCAGCCTCCCTCTATACCTCTTCCCATTTCTCCTCTAGAGTTCTCCCTATTCAATGCTCCCTTTCTGTGCAAAATAAACTTCCTTAGCTCCCATGAGTGATAACATGTGGTGCTTGTCTGTCTGTGCCTAACTTGCTTCACTGAACATGATGTTCTCCAGTTCTAATTATTTTGTTAAAAATGACAGGATTTCATTATCATATGGGTGAAAAATATTACACAGCGTATATATACTTTGGCCATCATCCATCAAGGGACACCATGGGTGTACCTTGGCTTTTGTGAATAATGTTGCAGTAAACACGGGAGTACAGATATATCTTCTCATATATTCTTAATGGCAAGAATCAGGATATATTCATTCACTGAAAATGCATTTATTGGGCATCTAAATGGGCCAACCTAGGTGCTGGGTACAGAGCAGTGAATTGCATGGGTGGGGCTGAGTGTTATATATGTCTGTGTGGTGTCATGTGATGTATGGTGGATGTAGTAAACTAGGGAGGAGGAAAGGAATGGAGGTCCTGTATCCTACAGCACAGCCACCTAGGACCCCATGTTAAGAGGGAACACTTCCTTCTGCCTCCTCCACTGCCTCTGAAATGAGGTGACAG